TTTGTGCCATTGAAAGGAAATTGGATGTTCCATAACGGACTACTTGAATTGGACATGTCCGAAACTCATTTGGCAATATTCATGATTGTCCGGCCGCTATTTATGACTTGTAATGGAAGAAACTAAATTCTCTAATGTATACTACGGTGAATCAATGATATGTATGCAGCGAGAGATTTGAGAGGAGATCTTGAAAATATGAAAACAAAAGAAAGATGATAAGTTGATAAATGATAAGTTCAGAACCTACAAAATCAGCTTTAATTGCATATGTCCCCTTGACTAAAGACAGAGGCACAAATTCTTGTACAGTGGGTGCATCAGCTAAATTTCTCTTGGGAATATGTTTGACCCGATCAAAGAAATTTTAAAAGATTTATGAAGATTTTGATTACCATGAAAACTTGGGATTTTGAATTTGGTTTGCTTACCAATCTTTAATTGGATGTTATAAAACTAATTTTCAGAAACAAATCAATCGATTAACCAACTGATTAACCTATTAATTTGATCTTTTAATATTAGGTTTGAAACTGTTACAGTGAAGTAATCGATTAATTCATAAAGGAATCGATTAGTCTTGTACAGAATGAAATTAATAAAATGATAACAGAATTTAAATTGATTAAAATGAAAAAGAATCGATTAAATTTGACATCTTAGTGTTTTTAGTTGATATAAATCCTTTTTAATGGATTAAAACAACTAGACTCAAATCTTGAGAACATTTTAATCGATTAATTTGTATTTCAATCGATTAAAATGGTACGGACGAATTTTCCGATATCCTCCGTAAGTTATTTTAATCGATTAATACATGTTTATATCAATTAAAACAATCGAGTTTATGAAAACAGAACCTGATTCGACTGCTTTGAACTCCAAGGGATTCCTAGATTTTGTTCTCGCAAAACAAATTTAGCATGTTTCTGGTACCCTTTATAGTTGCGGGTCCAATTAGGTTATTTGAAATGACTTTAACTTTGGAATCCATTTCATTCTTCCTTTAGGAATATCATACTTTTTAATTCTACAGTATTTTACTTGAATGACCTCTTTTCATGCGGTAAAAACATTTAATCATAGAGTATGATTTCCTATTTACATTTGTTTTTCTGAATTTCATCCTAGATTTAAATCCTATTCCAGATTTGTCAAAATTAGTTTTGAGACCCAAGTAAAACGTCCAAGATTAGCTTGACCTTGTGTAAACCTTGAAACAGTTTGTGATAAAAAATCAATTTTCTTTTGTAATTCGAACAATTATTACGGGGTTTATTACATGCACAATCGAAATTATCATGAATTAATTTTAAGAAATCACAATCAGTTTCATCTTCAAGAATTCTCTTTTCAAGAGAGTCTACTTTATTTACTAGCCAATTATTCAATCCTTTTAGCCTATCATTTTCTTTTTGTAGTTTCTTAGCCTCTTCATGCATTTCATTAAATGCTTCTTGTAATGAATTATAATCCACTAAGTTTGAAGAAGAATTAGAACTTACACTGCTGGATTGAGGATTTTGATTTGCCATTAAACATAAGTTGGCTTCTTCATTATCGAGTTGTCCGTTGATGAAGTGTCATTGTCATCCCATGCTACATAGGCACTCTTTACATCCGTTGTCCCTTCATGAGTAACCTCAAGAACATCCCACATCTCCTTGGCATATTTGCATAGGGATACCACTGAAAAACTCATCCATGTTAAGTGCGAGTAATAATATTTTTAGCAATACAATCATCTTGGATTAATTTCTTTTCACATTCATTCAAGCTACACCAATCTTTGTTAAAAATATCGGTTTCTTGTTCAATGATATTCCACATTTTATACTAATGGATTCAATAAAGATCTTCATCCTAATTTTCCAAAAAGGATAATCAGTTCCACAAAATAGTGGAGGTCTGTTAATAGAAGCTCCCTCGAAACGGTAATCTGTTTTCATCCATGGATCGAAGAACTTGAATAACTTTCAAGCACCTCGCTCCGATGCCAATTGTTAGAAAAGTAGTTTTAGATCAAGAGGGGGGTGAATTGATCTTTGAAAGTTTTCGCAAATAACAAATTATCTAATTCGAAAATTAAATTTAAAGATTTGTTCTTGAATCACAAAGCAATCAATCAAAATAAAAGCAACAAGCTGAATTTAAAGGAGAGAAAAGTTAAGAAAGATATCCCTAGGTGTTTTATACTTGGTTCACCCAATACTAGGGCTACCTCCAGTCTCGACCAAATTCAGTTGGGTTCCACTAGATCAAATGTTTCTGATTTACAATCTTACACTTAATCTACCACAAGAACCAAATTCCAGTTCCTGCACTCAACCTCTCACCAAGAACCAAATTTCAGTTCTTGATAACCTCTACAACCAAATTCTAGGCTACGAGAGAAACCGAGTGCCCAAATTCCGAGGCACCAACACCTAACCTTTCACCAAGAACCAAATTCCGGTTCTTGACAACCTCTACAACCAAATTCCAGTCGAGAGAAACCGGTGCCCAAATTCCAGGCACCAACACCTAACCTTTCACCAAGAACCAAATTCCAGTTCTTGACAACCTCTACGACCAAATTCCAGTACTCGAGAGAAACCGGTGCCCAAATTCCAGGCACCAAACAATACAAAAAGAATCTAAAGAAATGAAAAAGAAGAAACTAGAATGCTCAAACCGGTTTATGCAATTCTGCATAAGTGTTTCTTCTTCAAAAGAAAGCAAGTTGCCTCAAGAAAGATTTTCAAAGAACTTCTTAAAAGCTGATGCGAATCTTTCTTGAAAAGAGTGCTTGAAGTTTGCTTGATTGATTGCTCAAGGATGTGTAAAAGATGATATTCAATGTGTGTTTAAAAAGTTCAAGCCAAGTTTGTTTTTATAGAAGATTTTCAAAAGCTATTTGGTTTAATTAATCTGTTAAAAGATTCTTTTAATCTGTTAAAAGTGCAGTTTTAATCTGTTAAAACTTCTTTTAATCCATTAATACGTTCTTGATTCTTTAACGATTTGTTTTAAGCTGATCATGACAACGTTTATATCAATTAAAACACTTTACAAAAATCTTCTAAGTTGATTTAATCGATTGTTTAGCGATTCAATCGATTGAAATCTTGCAAAACTTTCTTGTAAAACTTTTCAAGTTATTTTAAGCGATAAAAATAAGTTTTAATCGATTAAAGCGCTTGTGTAGAAATTTTCTAAGTTGTTTTAATCGATTGAAAGCGAGATTTGATCGATTGAAAGAGTTACGATCGGTCATAACTAAATTCGATCGATCATAAGCGATTACGATCAGTCATAATTGCATTAGATCAGTCATCCGAACCTCAAGTGGTTTTAATCGATTGAAGCGTGTTTTAATCGATTAAAATAGTTCGATCAGTCATAACTCAATTCGATCAATCATATACGATTCTGATCGGTCATAATTGTATTCGATCGATCATCCGAACTCAAGTGGTTTTAATCGATTAAAATCAAGTTGTATCGATTAAAATCTTGTAAAAACATTTCACTTAACATTTTAAGTAATTTTAATCGGTTATATCAAAGTTGTATCAGTTAAAAACTTGTTTAAGAAAGCTTTTGTCAAAATACTTTGTTTTTAATTGTTAAAAACATTTTTAGAGGCATTTTGCAAAATCTTTTAAGTGAAGAAACCTCATCGTGAGAAAAGATAAAATGATTATACCTAAGCATAGCAGAAGACACACTAATTCTTCTACTCTTTTATCTTAGTGACTTTTGTCCACTTGCAAAGTTGCTTTTGACTTCATCTTTGACTTCATCAAATCAATGAGATCTTTGCCAAAGTATTTCAATAAGATCTTCATCACTTTC